GTAAACCAGAAGACATAAAAAACTTCATAGGAAACAATATTTTTGAATCTACAGCCCAACCAACATTTGAGTCATGAGTCATGAGTCAAGAGTTGAGATGATTTCTTTTCATACACTCATACCTTTCAGAAGAGGAAAGGCAGAATCAATCAATTCCATCTCAACTCCTTTTAAGGCGTCAGCTAAAATATCAAGAATGTGAAGAATCACAGGCTGATCAGGACCTAGCATGACCCCCCTTGCAATCATTGGAACAAGAGCATAGCCTATTTGTCCTGTTAAAAAGAAACTATTATTTAGTTCAATATGGATTAGGAAGCATGCACCTATTCGTGAAATTTATTTAGATCGATATGCCTGCTTGATTTATGTTTATATTTGAACAGTATTAAGTAAAAAAATGATTAAACAAAAGATTGAGCCATCAACTGAGGAGATCATCGACCACTAAAACAACTTGGAAAAAAAAGGGGGAGAGAATCCTTTAATCTTGCCTGCAGCGCCAGTAACCAGTACCCTAACGGGCTCCTTTAATTTAAGGAAGCTCCACATATGCTCAATGATCTTCCAAGACAAACAAATGCAACCCAGAACAACCAAAATACTCTGAAGCGTTACATGATCAAGATATGCCATAAGTTCACGAAAAACATCCATTTCCTGATTAAATCAAAGACAGTACTGCACAATTCTACCTTCCAAATTTATACCATAAGAAACCATGATGACACCTTAAGAACAAAGGCGATTGGATACCAAAACAACATGTACAAGAAAAGAAATGTAACCAAGATCTCCCCAACCCAAAAGAAGGAATTCGTCCTGCATGTGATTGTCAGGAAAAGAACCGCAGAATAATATTCTGAACCTTATGTTTAATGCCACGCAAATGTGATACCATGAGTAGACCATTTTGGATGATTTCCAAATTGAAAGAAAAAGATCAGATTCTGTCATTTTCTTAGCAGCCAAACAAAGACAACAGAGAGACCCCATTCAATTTAATTTAAGAAACAATGCTAGCTAAAGAAAAGAAGAGTA